ACACTGACTCTAAACCCCCAAACCCTCCGATTACCTTAACTGCGCTATCTTTAGCAGAGATTTAATGTCACTGTGCATCATTACAACATTGCTGTGTTATTATGTGTAAAATATGTTTTTTCAATTTTGATATTTTCAATGTGTGCAAATTCTGGCTACAACAAGTGGCAAGCTAATTTGTCCACTAGTCAGGTGAGATTTTCTCTTGCCAGCCTGGCTTTATTGTGTAGGCCTAAAGTGACTTTTTCTGTGCCTTTACCAGTAACACGTAACGTATCATAAATAAATGCAGTGTTTTGTGCTAACAGCCATCTCACAAACGAGATAAGAGCTTATAAAGCCAGTTATTGGCCCAGACGCTGACTGTTTCTGCAGCATTGTTTTCTAAGAGTGTCAAAGTAAGATTGTCTGAAGTCAAGATGCTGCAAATAAGTATGACGACTAGTGAGGTATTCACCTTAATAGGCACTTTCAACGACTGATTGGGATGTCATGGCTGCTGGGGCATTGCTGATGAATGGTCCCGCTAGGATATTTACAACAAATTCAACGACACAGGAAGGCACTCATCAATATTTACAAACACCTAAAAACAATAAAAAAAATGACATAATGAAGAAAAACACAAAGTTCACAAAGTTCCAGAACACCAAAATCGCTCAATAAGGTAAAAATAATATATCATCATCAGATATAGAGGAGCATTGATACAAGAAATTCAGGCATCATTAAATAAATATCTTTATTATACTAAATAGTAAAACACTTCAAAATACAAATACATATACAACTAAATTAAGGTACTAATGTGATTACTGCTAAAATTACAAATAGTGTTTAAAGAGACAATGTCATCCTCCCCCCTCCCCAAATATGAGTTTTGAATAAAGATAGAATATTTATGAAATACTTACATTGACTGTGTTGAAATTTCCCAGTCCAAAGATATGAACTAAAACAAAGTAGGGACTTCCATCAGGACAGGTTAAAACTGAAATGTTTGCTATTTCACTTGAGCTAATAAAAGCTAAGTTTTAAACTACTTTTGCTGGTGAAACAGTTCTATCTATATACTCGATTTTTGTAATTTTGCTGATAAAAAACAGGCAAGTATTGTATTGCTGGAGTGCAGGATATATATTTACACACATATACCGTACATATAAATATTAATTTAATACACAGAATATACGTGCATGAAGATCCATGCACACTCACACAACACTCACTGACCCAAGCAGACAAACACTCTCTTACCTATGCACCTATGCACACATACACACATACACTGACCCAGGCAGACATACACGTTGATTCATGCAGACATACACGTTGATTCATGCAGACACACACTGATTCATGCAGACACACACGGACCCATTCAGACACACACTGACTCATTCAGACACACACTGACCCATTCAGACACACACACACTGACCCATGCAGACACACACTGATCCATTCAGATACACTCACACTGACCCATTTAGACACACACACACTGAGCCATTCAGACACACACACACACACACACACACAAACACACACACACTAACCCATAAAGACACACACTAACCTTGTGTTGGCTAGCACTGGCGGCCCTGCCTAGCTGGAGTGGAGGTGAGAAGGCTAGGTAGAGTAGGCTAGGGCAGGGCAATTGCTATTGCTTGCATTGCCTGCTCTCTTCTGTGTTGGCTGTCGGAGGAGTCACAGGAGGCCCCTCTGTGCTTATAGTAGAGGCAGAGGCAGAGCTGGATTTCCCATAACTGTACTCAGATGGAGCTGTGGCACCATGCATCATTTATAGTCATGTGACACTCCACCTCCAGGAAGAGGCCGTAGTTGTGAACAGAAAACCCTTGTAAAAACTCTGAGTACTGTCAGTCCAGTGCTTGTTTATTTCGAAGTTTTGGGTTGGGTTACCTGTTGTGCTTTACCTTATGTTTAGCCTGTAACAGTTTCTGACCCAGTCCCTGTGACTGTTTCTGCAATGCATTCCTTCTCCCTGGTCCTTCTCTGCACCAAGTGTCAATGGATCAAACTTAGTAACATTGCCGGCCCTGACCTTGAATTGCCTGCTCCTCTTGGACACCTCGCTTGGACTTTGTTACATTCATAAAGACCCTGATCTCCTAGGCTACTGTCCTCAGTTCCCCTAAAAGTCATTCTTGTACAGGTGTACTTTCTACCTGATATTGGGTTTTAGCTCCTGATCAGCCTACCAGGTCAGTGACAACATGCACTGCCAGCATGAGTCCTTACCCTACATGACAGACCCCAAAATACAAATGCATCAATAAAAGTACCTACCAATAATAATCATGGGGGATTGTAAGAAAATAATCCTCTCTGTTACTCAGCAACTATACAGAAAAATGGAAAGTGAAAATAGTTAAAGATAGGAGAACACTGACTGCATTTGACCTGGGGGGAGGGGGGCAACTACACACAAATAACTAATTTTGAGACCAAACCAGCAAACTCCACCCTTTTCTAATTTTATAGTAAATGTTTTATACTAATACTGCATACCTCTTAATAGGGTAAAGGAGGGCGGTCCAGAGACTGAATGGCCTCACTGGTGCTGCCCAAAGGTCAGGGTCCACCTGCAATGAGGGCAGATCTGCCCAAAGAATTGTCAGGTCAGCCTGGTGTGAATGCCAGTCAAGAAGGCTGATTCACCAAAGGTGGGCCATGCAGGGTCCTAGTGCCTTGAGCATTTTGGGGGATCGTTCACTGGTGTCTCCAAAAGGGGGACAAAGTCAGGGTAGTGGGACAGACCCTGAATTTGGTACAACCCAAATCGGGACACTAGGCCTGATATCACAGAAACTAGAACAGTAAGAAAGCCTTTATCAGACAGTCAGACAGCAGAAGGATGATCAGGACAAGCGTTGTAAAATGGAACTAGAAGAGTAGAGGAAAGACAAGAGAATGACTAAAACACCCGAAGTTGTACACCCCGAAGGAATGTACTGAACTGAACTAGACAATGGCCGTAAGATGTCTAAAGATTAAATATATACATAATATTAACATTGTATATACACCTCACAGGGGAAAACCAGGACAGGCCAAAGCTTTCATCAAACCTGGAAAAAAAATAACTTTTTTTGTTTAGGGTGGGTACAAATTAAAGGGAAGTGGATTAGTATTGCCTTATGTATTTTGCAATATGTAGATGGCATTTAGTCATATGCATGCCTATGATTAAGCACCTAGTCTGACAATATTATTATTATTATGGTATTTATAGAGCGCCGTCAAATTCCGCAGCGCTTTACAGTGGGTGGACGAACAGACATGTAGTTGTAACCAGACAAGTTGGACACACAGGAACAGAGGGGTTGAGGGCCCTGCTCAATGAGCTAACATGCTAGAGGGAGTGGGGTAAAATGACACAAAAAGGTAAGGATAGTATTAGACTCGTGACAGTTGCCAGAGAGGAATCAGTCGGTAGCTATTAACAGTTTAATTGATACGCTTTTATGAAGAAGTGGGTTTTTAACGATTTTTTGAAGGAGCGGAGACTGGGTGAGCATCTTACTGAGCAGGGAAGCGAGTTCCACAGGAACGGTGCAGCCCTCGAGAAATCTTGAAGGCGAGCATCAGAGCTGGGAGTACGGACAGAAGATAGACGTAAGTCTTTAGCAGATCGTAAGGGCCTAAAGGGGACATACTTGTGTTTACCCATCTGACAATTTGTTCATTTACCATGAGACCACGCGATTCTGAGACTTATCATTTACAAGACAATTCACTAAGGTGAGTGTGGCGAAACCGGCCTCGCCACGTGTCCTTGGAGGGGGCTGCTTGCCCGCCTCTTGCCTTTGGACTATGGACCAGACCTTGTGTGAATGTGTTATACCCCAGATAGGAATCCCATGGAGCCCATTCGTATGAAACTGACTGTAAAGACTTTGGTTCCATGGCGATTAAACTGTATTTGTGTGGTCCGAGCGCCATTCACTTAATAATGTGCGCTCAGACCTGAGCTATCTGGGGATATGTGAAATGTCTGTGTGTTATGTGTAAAATGTGACTTTATGTATTTTAAAGTGTTTTGTGTCTTTTGCAACCATGTGCTTAATGGAGTCTTGTGTCTGTCCTGGGAGATAATTGAATTACTTATCTCCAGGATAGAAGACTCTGAAACTGGTTTGGGCCAGAAAGCCATGCTTCATTTAGTCACAAAGGACTTTTTACTAACTTTTGAACCCCTTGTCTGATTTGTGCCATTTTTGAATATGTTGTTCCCCTGAATGGATTGATTGTGAATATGTAATTTTATGTGAATGTGATGTATGGTTTTGGAGTTATGAAAGTTGGGTAGAAAGTATGTTTTAACTGTATGTATAATTGAGTTTCCTCTCAGGATAAGGGGAGGGAATATGTGGGATGTAACTGTGATGTGATTGGTTGTTTTGTAACGCCTGTGGGCTGTACTATGTTTGTGGATTGGGAATAAAAGAGACTGTATGTGACAGTACAGGGAGTTCCTGTTTTAACCCTCAAAGTGAAGTGTCGTCTCATTATTGGGGGAAGGATTTATTGTATGCTGTTCCAGTTTGACTGCTAGGAGAGTAAACCTATTCGTATGGTTCCTATTCAACTGTCTACAGCATTCATATGCTTGGAGGATTCATATGCTTCTCCGGTTCGGTGGTTGTGGTGTCTGCTGCAGTGCTTTGGAGTCCTCAGGAAGCGCTAGGAGCATCCTTCAACGGAGGTACCCAGTCGGGGTGCCAGGATCCGTTACATTGGTGGCAAGCAGTGGGATGGCGTCCTAGTGCGAGGTAAAGCAGCTCAGAGACACCGTTCGTTTGGATTTACAAATTGAAGGCGACGCTAGTGTTTATACAGCGTCCCTGTCTACATAAAGATTTGGGAAAACCAGCACTACTTCAGAGATGGAAGGCCGTGCAGTATCTCACTTTGACGCCAGGCTCCAGCAGCGACTACAGGATGTGATGCGCAGTATGGAGTATCCTATCCCAGAGGAAAGAGAGACAGAGTGGAGGGTGGCACTTCGTACCGATCTCTGGAAGGAGGACATCGACGAAATTCGACCCTTCCGGTGCGAGGAAATCCTGACCACTAACCAGCGCCAAGCAGAACAACTAGAGCTGCGGATGCCGTTATTGGGAATCCAGCCCTCAGAGGAATGGGTAAGCGAACTGGAGACGCTAGTTGAGACTGAGGTGTGGCTGGATGATTCCTATCGGGCCCTGCGTGGCATGTTTACCACCTCTACCCATGGCTGATTGAGTACAAGTGTATTGAGGGGGAAGACTACGATGGCCCTGGTTTGTTGTTGGATACTATTGAAACTTGTCTCTGGTTCGGAGACACCGACATTGCTCGCTTCTGGTCCATTCGAGCTGAGCGGGCAGACAACTGGGACCTTACAGAGATCGATGCCATTCAGCCAGATCTATCTTTTCTTGCCAACCGAGAGTGGGAACTAGAACAGGATTATGTTTGCCTATTCCAACGTATAACGCCGCATGTCTCTGCCATGATGGGGCTTATGGACTGTATACCACCGGAAGCATTGAGTTTTGTTCCTCCTCCCCAGCAACCAAGCCTGTTATCAGGAAACTTTGGTACTGTACCACATATGTCCCAACCAGCCCCAGAGATGGAAGACCTTATTGACTTGTCCTGGGAAGACACCCAGCTGGCAGGTGGGGATGGGACCGAGGTCTCTCTACAGGCCCTACAGGGATGCTGGGCAGTCAGCCCAGATCCCCAGTGGCAGTATGTATCCCAGGGAGCTGAAGGTGCTGTACTTCCTCCCCAGCGGCAGTGTGTCCTGCAGGAAGAGGAGACAGTCGGTCTCGCTCCCCAGCAGCAGGGCAATATATTAAAAGGGGAGACAGTTGGTCCCCCTCTCCAACAGCAGAGAGAGTGTCAGGGAGAGGAGCTTGTTATCCCCTCTCCCCAGCGGCTGAAAGTATGTATGGGAGAGGAGCTTGTTACCCCCCCTCTCCAGCGGCAGTGTGTACCCCAGGAAGCAGAGACCATCTGTCTCGCACCCCAGCCGCAGGACAAAATATTGAAAGGGGAGACAGTTGGTCCCCCTCCCCACCAGCAAAGAGAGTGTCAGGGAGAGGAGCAGGTTACCCCCTCTCCCCAGCGGCAGTCTACAGTTCAGAGAGAGGAGCTTGTTACACCCTCTCTCCAGCGGCAGCCTAACCCACCAAGGGGAGATGTTAAGCCCCACAACTATGCAGATGGGACCATAGTCTCTGCACTTGCAGCACCAGGGGTAGGGACGGTCGGTCCTGTCCCCCAGCCACAGAGCAGTGTATCCAGAGGGGAGACAGTCGGTCTCCCCCTCCCACAACCAGGCCCCAACCAGGCTACTTCAGTGGTAGCGCTGGCACCCGGGCAGAGTACCGCTGGTCTCTGCCCACTCAGCAACCCACCAAGGCAGTCTACCAGCCCCCCGCACAGCTGTGGTGAGGCACCTGGACATGGACAAGTTGCTATTTTATCCAGGTGTAACCAGTTATTGTGGGTGGGCTGTATTGCTGCTTGTGCTTCGTGGGTGGGTTGCTGGACTAACCAGGGCACTGACCGGCAGGAGGTCAGATACCCTGTTAGTTTGGATGGTAAAGGGGAGAAATGTGGCGAAACCGGCCTCGCCACGTGTCCTTGGAGGGGGCTGCTTGCCCGCCTCTTGCCTTTGGACTATGGACCAGACCTTATGTGAATGTGTTATACCCCAGATAGGAATCCCATGGAGCCCATTCGTATGAAACTGACTGTAAAGACTTTGGTTCCATGGCGAATAAACTGTATTTGTGTGGTCCGAGCGCCATTCACTTAATAATGTGCGCTCAGACCTGAGCTATCTGGGGATATGTGAAATGTCTGTGTGTTATGTGTAAAATGTGACTTTATGTATTTTAAAGTGTTTTGTGTCTTTTGCAACCATGTGCTTAATGGAGTCTTGTGTCTGTCCTGTGAGATAATTGAATTACTTATCTCTAGGATAGAAGACTCTGAAACTGGTTTGGGCCAGAAAGCCATGCTTCATTTAGTCACAAAGGACTTTTTACTAACTTTTGAACCCCTTGTCTGATTTGTGCCATTTTTGAATATGTTGTTCCCTGAATGGATTGATTGTGAATATGTAATTTTATGTGAATGTGATGTATGGTTTTGGAGTTATGAAAGTTGGGTAGAAAGTATGTTTTAACTGTATGTATAATTGAGTTTCCTCTCAGGATAAGGGGAGGGAATATGTGGGATGTAACTGTGATGTGATTGGTTATTTTGTAACGCCCTGTGGGCTGTACTATGTTTGTGTGGATTGGGGAATAAAAGAGACTTCACTGTATGCATTAAAAGTACAGGGAGCTCCTTGCTTGCAACCTCAAAGTGAAGTGTCGTCTCATTATTGGGGGAAGGATTTATTGTATGCTGTTCCAGTTTGACTGCTAGGAGAGAGTAAACCTATTCATATGGTTCCTATTCAACTGTCTACAGCATTCATATGCTTGAGAGCATTCATATGCTCCTACGGTTTGGTGGTTTTGGTGTCTGCTGCAGTGCTTGGAGTCCTCAGGAAGTGCTAGGAGCATCCTTCAACGGAGGTGCCCAGTCGGGGTGCCAGGCGATACGTTACAGTGAGCATTCAAAGTAGATTTCAAATTAAAAGTAAAAATAGCCAGATTGGAAAACAATCTCCAAGTCAACAATGCTTTCAGTTTGGCTACTTTGGCCTTAATTGTAAAATTAATTTTGATTTAGTTTTTAATTCTCACTTAAGTAAATAAACCTGTTAGTAAAACACCATAATATGGAAAATCTATTATCTTTGGTTATTCACAAAATTTAATTCTGGTGATAAATGCACATTGGTTCCTTGTAACAGTAAACTCTTACAGGTTTTATGTAAAGTGCAATAATCTTCACTGAGGTGTTCAATTCAGGGATCTTGGACCAGTGGCGGATCCAGGGGGGGGGCAACGGGGCAATTGCCCCCCCCGAGAAAATAGTGCAGCTGCCATCAGTTGAGCGACCTCATTAGGGGCTCGGTCGGGTGCTGCAGCCCTTTGGCAGACCGGGCCCCTTTAAAGTTGCAGGGAGTGCTAGGAGGAAGTGACTGTTACTTCCTCCCAGCATACAGACCGCGCGGGCTGAGAACACCCAGGATGCAGCTGGGAGAGAAGACACAGGCAACAGGCAGCTGGAAGAGAAGGAGGAGGGAGGAGAGAGAGCTCTGCAGCTTCAGACTCCCATCAGGCTCAGCCAGCCTCAGGAAGTCACCTTCCTGCAAAGAAAAGGTATTTAAGCAGAGGGGAGAGGGGAGGGTGCTTAACATTATGGAAGCTGCAATTTGTGTGTGTGTCAGTGTGTATGTTTAGATATGTGTACATCTGTGTGTGTCAGTGTGTATGTTTAGATATGTGGACATCTGTGTACTTCTGTGTGTGTCAGTGTGTATGTTTAGATATGTGGACATCTGTGTATTTCTGTGTGTGTCAGTGTGTATGTTTAGGTATGTGGACATCTGTGTGTGTATGTTTAGATATGTGTACATCTGTGTGTGTCAGTGTGTATGTTTAGGTATGTGTGTATGTGTGCATCTGTGTGCCAGTGCGTATGTTTAGGTATGTGGACATCTGTGTGTATGTTTAGGTATGTGGACATCTGTGTGTATCGGAGTGTCAGTGTGTGAATCTGTGAGTGTTAATGTGTATCTGTGAGTATGTATCTGTGTGTGTACCACAGACAACGTCGTCCACTGCACTCAGGTTCCGCTTTTCACTCTGGTCCACAGCCTCAAAGGTGCTCTGGATTAGATAGACACTGCTAATCCGTCCAACAATACAAGGTAATAGAATATACAGGCAACACACCAGGTACCGAAGGTGTATTTATTCGAGGGTAGAACACCACATAAAAGTGCAACTTTTCAGCCCTAGAGGGACTTAAACATGATTAAGGCCCCCAAGGGCTGAAACGTGTTCTACCCTCCAATAAATACACCTTCAGTACCTGGAGTTATGCCTGTATATTCTATTACCTTGTATCTGTGTATGTGAAGGTATGTGTGTCATTCTGTGTATGTGTAGGGATGTGTGTGTGCGGTTTCGCCAGTGTGCATGTGTAGGTATGTGTGTATCTATGTGCCAGTGTGTTTGTGTGCCAGTGTGTGTGTGTGTGTGCCTGTGTAGGTATAGGTTTGTATCTGTGGGTGTGCCAGTGTATGTGTCTGTATCTGTTATTGTGTTTCCATATCACTGTGTGTGGCCGCATATGTGTACAGCCTCTATCCCCTAAACAAGAGTCCCCTATTCCTCCGCTGCAGCCTGTTTCACCCCGCTCTAGCCCACTTAAGTGCCCCTCCCGAGATTTGGTTCTGGATCCGCCCCTGTCTTGGACTCAATCCAAATTCTTTGAGTCTCCATTGATTAGTCCACTCAAAGCAGTTCAGCATGTCACCAAGTAATGCGTTTACCAAGATCTCCTACAAACCTTTAGGTAAGAATTCATTGGTTAATGAATAACTTCTGAGCTTTAAGGGACTCTTCGTATCCCTAAATCACTTTAGCTTACTGAAAAGTTTACTGTATTAAGAGTGCGTCCTCATTTATACATTTGTAAAATGTCAAGATTAATTTTTTTTTTAAATGCATTTTTATAACCTTGTTACACCACCCCAGCTGTCAATCAGACAACAGGTACTATTACTTCCTGGTTGCTTAGCTCAGTGGAGCTGAACTCAGAAGGGAACAACTGCCCAGCACACCTGCCTTGTGAAGACTTCTCACTGAGCTACATTGGGAAGTCCATGATTGGACAGACACAGAAAGTCTGGGCAAAGTTAGAAGCTGGCAAAGGCTGTAGACAAGAGATTTACAGATTTTTGCAAGATGTTTTTAGAAATACCCCCAATCAAAGTATATTTCTTTAAATGCACATGTTTTCATAGGAGGTATATCTACTACATAAGGTTTTTATTTTCTTATTTTAGCAGTGGAGTCTGAGAGTTCCCAGATATGAGTGACAGCGTGTTAAAATTAGATTTTCTGTGGATGTAGTATTTATAAAAAAAATACCATCTATATCATTGATAATAGTACTTTTCTTTTGATGAAACACGAACATATTGATCATCTTCTGCTACATGAAACTTGTATTAGTTCTCTGTGTGTGTGACTTTTACCATGAAATGTATCAAACAATGTTTTGCAGATTGTGCCATAAAGTTTTATTATGGACCAAATCAAATTGATCAACGAAACCTAAACAAGCTGA